AGCAGAAAAGGGAGAGAGTGCTATATCTCCTGTGAGGAACAAAAACTAATCTTACAGAAATACAAAGAGGAACATGTCTTAATGAAAAGACAAACATGGTGGCATCAGAGATACCAGAAATTATTTAAAGTTATTTAACAAAGCATGTATGTAACCCCTCAAGAGTGGGGAGGACTTGGCAGCAGATCATAATCAAACAAAAAAACCTGTGGTTAGTTGGACTTTTTAAATCAATTATGTATAGGCAACACTACAGCTGGAAGCTGATGCCACAATTGCATCATATTAATACAAGAAGGGGTTAGTGTAAGAGAAATCGTCCTGATTTTTGAGCCGTGTCAGAACTCAGAGGGGACAGATTGTAAAATCTACTCTGATTTTAAAGGGTGAAAGTCCTCAATTACCATGTAGCTCTAAATGTACTGAAATACCTCAATGTCTTTCCTACTTAAATTAAACTTCCTGCAATGATTAGCATTCTTGTTTAGGTCTCATACATACTCTCTTCCAGGCAGAAAGGGATGTACATGATAAATGTTCAATTTCCCAGCAACATTTGAGCCTTCTTACACATGTTTATTTATTTTTTTTATTTACCTGGCAGTGCACAAGAAGCTGCCACACATAAATCTGTGATACACATTTGTGATACACGTTCCAGGATCTGGCATATATATGCCAGTCAGCCTGTGGAAAAACTGTATCCCGTATAAAAGTAATCGTCATCATGATTGTTTGTGGAAGACACGTTCCCATCTAAACACTTTTCTCACAGGTTGCACCTTGGATTTAATCTGGTCTTCAATTAAAAGGCACATTATTGTTTCCCAAGCAGCTGATTGGTTGGTGGGTGGAGCCTTTTATAGGATTCAGATCAATGCTGAACACGAGCCTGACCTGGAGCAGATTTGCCGCAGAGCAAATTACCATGTTAACTTGCCTCACTAAGAATTAATCCAACTTTTTGTGCTGAAAAAGTCAGTGTTAACCCTGAAGTTACCTCGCAGAGCCGGTAATCCTGCTTCGTGGTACAAGCCTCAGGGGTTCATTTCACAAAGCAGTTTTAATAAACTTTGAGTCCAATCCTTGACTCTGAATTGATCTAGCTTAAAGTTGGAATATGATCAGTCTATTCAACCGACCAGAACAACATCTGGAAGCTGGGGCCTGGGTTCCAAATATGCCATCAAACATGAACATATAATATGACCTCTTGCATATAAAAGACCAAATTGAGCATTACACTAATATTTTCTAAAAATATCAATGAAAATAAATCAACAATTGTATCCAATATCATGAGCCACGAAAGGTCCTGTAACTGAAGACATGTTAAAGAGAGGTGGCTTAGTGAATGTGATGAGGTATTAGAACAGTCAGACAACAGTCGGGTGAAACTAACTATCTATTATTAATTTTTCAGAATCAGAAATACTTTATTTTTCTTAGTGAAATAAGATTTTAACCATGGGCTATGAACACAAGAGGCTCAACATCCTACCAGACCTACAGGTTCAAGATTGCATATCAAAACTTAATTTTAACCAAATAAACTTCCATCAAGTGTACCAGATGCCCCTGTATGAACATTATGACTAGACGGCCAACTGGTTCCTACAAAGTAACAGTGACATTTAAAAGGTGACTCAACTGTGACCAACTGCTGCAAAGGCTGCTTTCATATGTGTGAGAGAGGAACAACACTTTTTTTTAGTTGACTGAAATAATTATAGCACACAGGACCAAAATTTGTTTGTGTTATGTCCTGTTATTACATTTTTTTTTCTTCAATAGCTGAGTCTCACTAAAGGAAACACATCTCATTGCATTGGTTTCAAATTGCCACTTTTTCTTCAGTGTTTTTGTGTTTTCAAATCAAATTATCCTAAAAACACAAGCTAACTGTGAGACTGAAGTGGCGAGGTTGTGTTGGCAGATAAATATTAGGTTTTTTTCCACTGTAATGGTTTGCTGACACGTGGCCTCGCTGTATATGAGGTGAAAGAACGATTCCCAATTTGGCTGTGAATTTCCACAGATTTGTACCATTTACATGTAGATTGCGTTTGCAATTTTCAGGAGAAAACGACCATAGAAACGGAGTATTCATGGTCATAATAATCAGCGATACTCTGAGAAAGGCTGAGGTATAATCAGAGAGAAGTGCTGAGGTAGTGAGCAGGTTCCCAAAGGCTGCTGTGGAGGTGCTTACGATTACTTCTTTTTACTTTACCTTTTCTTGGATTTCCTGCTTCTCCTTTGTGGCTTCCTCCAGCTGGGCCTGCAGATCAGTGATCTGGCTCAAGTCCCTTGCTGACTATATCACACATACACAAAAAACAGAATTACATTTGGGTTATGATAAAGCAACAAAGGATGGGATGTGAGTGTGTAGGATACGTTTCAATTATCTTGGAACAAAATGGCTTTTAATACGAGTGGTTCATAAACACAGCAGGTTCAAACAGAGCAATTGTCATGTGGTTTTGATGTAAAGCAGATCTCTCTGATTTGAAAACACATGCTGTGTCTCATACACACACAGTACCTGCACTGCAGAAAAGAATTGGCCTCAGAAATGCAATGTATGATTTTTGTAAATATATGTTAAATCAATGGGGTTTCCACAGATATAAATATGATTCACATTGCAGTGTTTAAAGCCTCCTCAGGTCTCAAGAAAATTTTATCAGACATAAAAAATAACCTAAGTAATCTGAAATTAGACTATTAGATCAGAGCAAACAAACCTTTAGACATCAGACTAATTAGACATACAGTAATGAAATCAGACTAAGTGACATCCGAAAAAACAGTATCAGAACGAATGTTTTCAGACCAAAATGGACTCAAACTGAAGGCAAAGGACCAAATGCCAACAGACCAAATCTAATAAATCAAGCAGATTTGGATAAAATGGCATAAGATGAGACACACTTAGAACAAAAACTATCTAACAAACCAATCTGAGGCAGAACCGCATCAAACTAAATGAAACAAGAACAGAATCAGACTAAACAGAGTGTAACAGAAGGCCCGGTGGAAAAAGCAAAAGACTGTTCAGGGGCCAGTTACTGGTCTCAATGGTACTACAATTTGAAAAAGTTTGAATGTAAATACAATGTTCTGTCTTGCAGTACTGCTCCTGGTTTAAAGTTTTTTTCAAAGACTTCCAGGTAAGGTTCTGGAGTCCATCGTCATCTTTGCCATTTCTTTGCATAAATACAGCCATCCACTTCAAAAGATGTGTAAACCAAAACAACCCTACATCAGTGAATCATAGGAAAAGTGAATACTTTTTAAAAATGAAAGAGCTGCATCTCCTTTAAGCAGAATTCAGACTAGCTACAGTGTCAAACTGTGGATATTCATCCAGCTAATGTTAGTTTCAGTGTTTGAAAAACCAGAAACCCAATAAACTTAATTATTCACAAACTTCCTCTAAATACAGCAGGGAATCATGTCATACTTTGCTTAAGTCTTCCACCACCGTTAAATCCTATCGAAAATCCCTTACACCAACTTACTGTTTTAGCTATCAGTTAATTTAATTAAACTTGACAAATATTGACTGAAGTAGGATTTAATTTTTTAATTCTTACATTGAATTCTTGATTCAACTAAAGATCTTTAGAAGAAAAAACATATTTGTCTTAAATAATTTCAAAAAAATTAACAAACCAATGGACTTCGTTTCCAAGTTTGAAGGCATTTCACTTCCCATCCAGGAAGCTTTTTTAATACAAAATGTTAAATAATGGTTAATAGTGGTTTTGTCCAGAAAATAAAATATGCCATAGAAAATATTAAAGCTGTTAAATATACTCAGTTTTTTATGGCAATACAAATGTTGTAAAAACAACTACTACATCACAGACTTGCTATCAGTGTATCAACCCTCCAGACCACTCAGGTCTTCTGGCTCCAGCCTGCTCTGCATACCTAGAACCAGAACTAAACATGGAGAAGCAGCATTTAGTTCCTTTGCTCCACTTATCTGGAACAAACTTCCAGAAAACTGTAAAAGTGCGGAAAGCCTGAGTTCCTTTAAATCAAGACTAAAAACACATTTGTTTAGGATTGCCTTCGACTGTTCTAGTTAAACAGTTCAACTAAAACATATTGTCTTTAGTCCAACTGTTTTAATATTCTTTTTTGTTTCTGCATGTTTTATTTTATTTTATTTTTTTTATTATTATTTTTCCTACTTGCTTTGATTCTGTTTTATCTTCCTGTATTTTAATCATGTAAATAACTTTGCATTGTCTTTGTACTGAATTGTGCTATACAAATAAATTTGCCTTGCCTTACTGCAATAATGTGTTATTTTTGTAACCTGATGATCTCATACTGGACTGTGACTCAACCAGACCAGATATAACCAACATCAACAGACTTATGGAGTCAGACTAAACAACATAAGATGAACTGATTTGGACAAAAGGCAACCGGCCAAATGGTACCAGATCAAATGGTGCACAACCAGGCAAGCTAAGAACAAATACTAAAGGGAAAGAGATAAAATGCTGTCATATCACACGCCATCTCAGCAAATGCTTTAGAAAGGATTCTAAACAAATGCCCTCAAACCAAACAGGCCAAATGGAAAAGAAAGCACCATCAGATCAAATGTATCTTTGTTCTGATGTATTGGGAATTTTTTTTGTCCTTGTTTTGATGGGGGGTTTTGTCCGACTTTGGTCTGAGGCAGTTTGGCTCTATTGCATTTTGTCTCAATTTATTTGGTCAAATGTGTCACAATGTTTGTTTTCTGAGTCCCAAGGATTTTCTAAATTATAGACTGGTCTTTATTCTATTCATTAGAAATACTATTGGTCCTTGCTCTGACATTTGAAAGGCTTTCAAACAGATGATTGAAATTCCTCAAAGGTTTAACCCACCTGTGCAACTGCTGCTTTGTGTTTCTTCATCAGTTCATTCATGTCTTCCTGATCCTCCTCCATGCGGGACTGTAGGTCATTCTTCTCCCTCTGCAGACGGCTGAGCTGCTCCTCCAGCTAAGTGACAAACAGAAAGGGAAAAAAAAGAGACAAATTGGTACAGAATGTCAGGATTTATTCATGATCTATCAAAAATGATAAATGACGATTAGCTGGCCATGCTAGGGTAGTCCTGGAGTTTCATTTTGCAGCATTGAAATATAATCTATTTCTGGCTGGAGGATGACACCAATTGGAGCTAATCAATTGGCTCATTTAACCCAGGCAAAGTGCACTGTGTGCACTGTACTGGTGATATCCTATTTTGAGTTTCAGCTGGTAACACCAGTTCTCAGTGTGAATTCTCTAATCTAGGAAGATATTTGCAAGATCTCCCTCACCATAAATGCAGCAATTAAAAACCAAAACAGACACACGGCACACTGTGTGTCATCCCAAGAGACGCAAATATCCTCCGTCTATGAGTCGGAAATGTGGGAAGAAGTCTCGTGAGACAGCTATTAATGAGCAGACTGAGAAAGAAAAAAATATATTCAGCCTAGCTCATTTAAACTTTAGAGCAAAATGTTGAAATCAGACATATGCCAAAGGGCGTTTATTATTTTAATATCCCAGCATGGCCTCTTGTATGCATATAAATGAGAACCATACTGCAATTTGATATGCACAGGCCCTTAAGTAATTACACACTGTTGTTTCTGGGGGGTGACTTCCACATAAGAAATGTGAATATTGAAAAACAAATACAGGAAAAACAAAAGTCTCAACAATGTGAAATGAGAAAAGTGTAGATACTAATGTGTTATAATGTACACCTTGGTGTTAACATCTAATCAGAAAAGCATCTTGCCTTGGACAAGTAAACTGAAAAGACAGAATAGAGACAGATGTGAAAACTTACCGCCATCTTGGTTTTTACCACATCTTCCATTTGAATATGCAAATCCTCAATTTCAATCTCCATGCCCTTTCGAGCTTTCACTGCTGCCGCACAAGTAAACTCTGACTCCTCCAGCTGTGAGGCACAGGGGGAAACGTGCAAGAAAGAAGCGAAGGACAAACGTTAGTGGGCCAAGATCAAGAATCCCTGCTGGATATGATGAAAGATTTCTTCACTGTTGCAGTTTCTAGACTAAACCCTCTATATCCAGTATATTTGTATCCCTTATTAGAGGCTGCTGTAATGTCATCTGTTGAGTTAGAGAAAATAACCTCTCAGGAGGACATACTTGATTTTTGAGCTGGGTAATCTCCCTTCTGCTGGGGGCGTTGCTCTTCAGGTGGTCCAGCATAATCTGTGCGTCAGCCAGAAGGACTTTTGTTCTCTTCAAGTCTTTCTTTAGCCTCTTCTCCGTCTCCACATCCCTTTGGCTAACCTGAATAACGAATTACCCTTCTGTAGTTATTACTGTTACACATGACCATCTGCCCTCTATCTAAACTCAGAGCACCTCTCAGGACTTAAAAGCATTTTATTTCCAATCAAGAGAAGTGGCCCAAGTTGAAATCACACACTCTACCGCACAGAAAGGTGAATGCAGTACCTGGTCCTTGGCAATCAGAAGCTTGGACTCCAGCTCCCGTTTTTCACGCAAGACTTTCTGTTTGTCGTCGTACTCTTCCTCCAGCTGTACCTCCATCTGTTTGAGCTGCAGGACATGGACATGTCAAAAGCACAGGAAAGGAATATCAATTATCATAGCTATTTTCTAAAACACCACTGTTTTAAGCCTCTTGCACCTATTGTCATCCAATAATATGTTTCTGCTATTCGTAATTTAGTTTTGTTATTCACTCACTGGCCTCTTTATTAGGTACCCCTTGCACAGGGTACACAGGGTTGGACCCCTTTTTCTTTTGTAAGTGCCTTAATCCTTCATGGCATAGATCCAACAAGTTAATGGAATAATTCCTCAGAGAGTTTGGTCCATATTGACTTAACATCACACAGATGTAATGTTCAAGATACTATTCTGAGATTATTCCCGCTTTATGGCATGTTGTGATATCCTGCTGGAAGTAGCAATCAGAAGATAGGTACACTGTGGTCATAAAGAGATGGACGTGGTCAGCAACAATATTCAGGTAGGCTGTGGCATTGACAGGATGCTCAATAGGTACTAAGGGGCCCAATATGTGCCAAATAACCTCTCACACTATTATACTACTAGACCATGTCTACATGCCTACTTGCACAGATTTGCTGCCATGTGATTGTACAGTTGGACAGGTGTACCTAATAAAGTAGCCGGTGAATGTAGATTTATGGGGCCTTCCAAAAAAAAGGAAAAACAATATTTTTCAAATATGATTTTGTTGCGGAAAAAATGTCAAATTTTACTAAGATTATCTGTGATAGATGAACATAAAACACAAAACCATTAAGTGAAAAAATAAGATTTATGATATTTAAACCTTATGTAATGAAATAAAAAATAAACAAAAAAAATAATGCAAGCATTTTTACCCATTTCATTTCACTTCATTATCACCGATTAAAATTGACTGTAGGCCACTCACTTTAAAAGTCACCTGAGACACTCTTTTTGGCATTTATTTAAAAGTAACAAACACAAAATTCATAGCTGAAAGCAATATAGCAATACAAAAAACCCCAGCAAATACACAGAAAAACACATTGTGGACAATAAAAACCTCTGGCCTCATTCAAAGCTCTGTACATGATTAGAACTAAGTTAAACACAGTGGTGGGTAGAGTGCCAAAACTTTATTTCTGAGGTAATTAATAGAACTAGTTCAACATTTTATCTATTCAATTAAAAAGCAGTCACTCAGGAAATTGCATAAGAGTAAAAAAGCATTTGGTAAAAAAAGCTACCGCACTCAACAACTGAGAAAAGTTTGGATAGTAAAAATATGATTTAAGGATAAAAGCTTATTTAAAATCTGAATATAGACAAACTTTTCCAAATACATTTTTCCAACCTAACCCATGATTTGTTTTTTTTAGCTCATTTGATCGCCATTCCACTTAACTGGTTGTCTTTACTCCTGAGGTCCTACCATGGGGGAAATGTTCTGTTTATTGGGATGTTTTATTGTTTTCTATGTCTCAGTCTGTCCCACTTGCTATATTTGCCATGTTTGTTTCCAAAAGGGGCAAAGCTGGCTTGTTTAGCTTGTGAGGTTTGACTTCTTTTTTCTCCAAAGTGTATGTTTTTTACTTTACCACTGCAACCCCCTCCTGTCTGACTGATGATATTTCTACCAAAATGCTGGTGGTCTGACCAAAATAGACCAGAGGTCTATGTGGGTCAGAGCTTCGCAAGCAGAGCTGAAGAGAATGGTGTGCAATCTAACTGGCCCTATGCATTTTCAATGAGATGTTAGTGCCATGATCTGATCTTCTATCAGATTGGGTTCTATAATATGTCTGTGGTAGGTTCAGATCTTTATACTGTGACCATGCTTTTCTTGAGCAGAGGCAGGGGAGCTGAGCAGATTTCATGAAATGAAAATTCGGGGAAAATCAAAGTAAAAGACTGTTAAAGTCTGCAGAACTCATAGATCTGGGATGGTGCTTTAGCTTCCAGTGGTATGGTTATCATAAACAAATAACCAGAGCTATGATGAAATAGTTCAGCGGGAAGCATATCAATATAATATAACAGCCAAGGAGGTCCAAGCTATAGCCTAAAACTGAAAAAAATATTTTCCACTGATGATTTCCATCAAATCTGACAGAACTTCAGCTTATCTGCAAAGATAATCAAAGAAATGCTACCGTCTTATCCAAAAAGACTTTATGCTGCAAAAACAGTGCAAGGTTCCTTGCAAACAATGCTTCAGTTTTCGATCATTCCGAAATTATGTTGATCTGTTTCTTACAGTCACAACAAAATACAATGAGGGTATTAAATGCAAAATATGACCAAAATCATTGGATTTGGACATTTTTCCAAGGAACTGTATACCTGTACTGTACCTTCATGCATAACAAAGAAGTACAAATTATTTTAGTTTTTCTGTCAGACATATTCTTTGGAAGAACACATTTTTTTTTTTAAACATGCTGGTTTATATATACTGAGAACATCAGTGTATGTTCTTCTGTGATGCTTTGAATGGGCCTGGCTAATTGATAGCTTAGAGAAGAGAGGATATGAATAAGAAATATGAATGCACAAAGAGTGAAAATGAGCAACGCCCACCTTCTTACTGCACGACCGCCTGATTTCCTCCACCTCTTCATCCTTGCTCTCAATCTCTTTGGAGTGGGTCTGCCGCTGCCTCTCCATCTCCATCTCAAGTCTCAGCTTAGCCTGAGTGCAAGATAAGGACATGCAATGCAGCTTGTGACATAGATATACAGAGGCAATATTAGAACAAATCAATAATTTCAGAGAAATGTTATTGTTTGGAAAAGAGAACATTTAAAGTAAAACAGCTCAGAACTATAGAAGCCACAACAGGTACCTGTTCCAGCATTTGGATCGTTCCAGCCTGCTCATCCAACTCCTCTTCCTGATCTTTCACCTTCGCCTCGAGGTCATGAAGCTGCTTCTTTAACTTGGCCAGCGAGGCCCCGTCCTTGGACTCCTGGGAGGACAAATCCTGTAGTTCTGCCTCCAGTTGCTGAACTTTCACATTGGCGGTGCACAGTTCTGTGTCCTTGTCCTGCGGGTGGGAGGCACACGGTGAAAGTTTGACATCAGGACAAGGCAGGCAGCAGTAGATCACTCAGAGAGCAGGAGAAAGAGGAGGCTTACCTGCAGCTGCTGGCGAAGGTTAAATATCTCACCGGTCATGAGGTCTTTCTCTCGAGCCAGTTTCTCCCGCTGGCTCTTTTCTCTTTGTACCTCATCCTGAGCCTGGCTCTGCTCCAGGTCAAATCTAGGGCAAATCCGGATGCAAATACTAAGTGAAAATCTAAGCTTTGGATCAGAACACCAAAAAAATATGCAAACTATTAGATACAATCCACAGGCACAAAAGATAAAATCACGTGAAGAATAAATTGGTTTGAGTTAGCTAATTTTTTTTCTAATTTGTTTTTAATATTAGTCAAAAAAATTAGCTCTTAATCAATTTAAATTAGATGTATAACTTGGTGAAAAAGTACCCAGAGAGCCAGCTCTTTATAACATCTGCTTATGTCTACAAATGATATCGACATTCACAAATGTGCATTTAGCTTTATCTCTCTCTAACACTTCTCTTTTATTCATTTTTATCGGCTACAAAAAATGCCCTGGCTTTTAGTAGTCTACGAAATGTTTTTCTTCAACTATCTCAGGCAGAAACACTTATTGTTAGTGAACTTAACAGCTAAGTGTATCCTGCTGACAGCTTGTCGTAATTCCCTGTATTTCCCTCTGAAGTGCAGCTGAAAATAATTTCACCCGCAGAGCATCTTCAATTAGCCACAGGGGAGAGATCACATTATGCCACAGCGATAGCTTCTTAAGTGCTTAAAGTCTAAGTCATTTTCTCCACTAATGCAATTCTGCAGATTACAGACCATCCCGGCCACTGTTTGAATTACAGAAAACTTGAGCATTATGTGAGCGGGCCTGTGCGTTGGCCATGGAGAAAACAGGACTTGAAATTCTCTGTGATGTGAGTTTGTAATTAAAAAGACGGAAGAGGAGAAGCACGTTTGAAACTGACTTCCTCTGTTTTTTCTCCAAATCGTGGTTACGGCTCTGCAGGCCCTCCAGATGAAGCTTGGTGTCCTGCAGCTCGGCAGTCAGCTTTTGGCACTTCTTCTTCAGCTGCTGCAAAGAGCGCTGCAGATCCTCATTATCTGTCTGCAAATCAGCCAGCTGCATCACATACACACACACACACACACACACACACACACACACACACACACACATGAGCAAACATGTCTCTATTATTCTCTTTTGAAAGAACTGTATCTTCATGTTCTAAGCCCTATATTGATCGAATGTTCTGTATATGAAACTTTTGGTGCATTATATGTATTGAGTGAATATGTTTAAGTATATTTATGTTCTTTAATAACCTTTATTCTGTTTTTATTTGTAGCTGGTTTATTTCAGCTTTATTATTTGTCTTGTTTTTGTTTATGTTGTGAAGAACCCAGAAATATATGATGCAGGGAGCTGATCCAATATAAGAAGTAAAAAGAATTCACATAGACTGAGTAAGTAGTAAGGCCACTGTAGAAATTATACATTATATATATTTTATATATATTTTATTTACCCTCCAATGTTGAAAAAAATTATATATCTGATCTGTAAAGCTGTGATATTCATAGTTATAAATTATAAATATTGGTTTTCAGAGATAATGTAGAGAAACGAAACGAGATGAAAAATTCTTCAAGCCCTCTAATAGTGATGCGTAAAATTTAGTAGATAGAAGTGCAAGTTAAAGATGTGGGAGATCTTGCTCTGACATAGGAAGAGCTCAGATCTTCTACATACTGTAAAATATTTATATGAGCATTTCTTAAATTTACCACGTGACATTTTTTTTCTGACTTTGTAAAGTCAGAGTATTTTCTGCTAAATTTAAAAGATTTTTTTCCTGAAATTTCTAACTTTACAAAGTCAAATAATAGCTTGTTACGAATCTGGGTTTAATCCTAGAAAGTTATAATGTCTTTGATCCAAATTTACAATTTCAAAATAGTTCACTGCAAATTTCAGTCATAATCTAGTGTGTTGAAATCCAATTTTTTTTGCGTTGCCGTTCACGTTTCCAAATATATGCGACTTGTATGTGATCTCTTCTGTGAACTGCATTCATACAACGCAAGTTGTATGGACGCAATGACGCCACAAGCAAGCATGCTCGGTTATTATAGAAGAAAGCATGAATGGTAGTCCTTGAGCGCACCTAGTGATCTTTCTTAACCTTAAACCTCGATCTTTAAAGATGGGGGGAAAAAAAGGACTGCTTTCCGCATTATCAACCACAATGGTTGATGTTTTTCTTTCCGCTTCTGCGTAGCAAGATTCAGAATAGTGACCTTTGTAGGGTATTAATGACGCTCAGCTTGGATGAATGCGACCTGGCCACTCACACACAGGTCGCATTTGAAAAGATCAGATTCGTATCGGAATCAGGACCACATAGCCAAGTGGCCTGGTTTGCATTAGAAAAAAATCGGATCCGTATTTTTCAGACTGCCATGAAAAGATCAGATGTAGTTCGCATAGGGGCAAAAAAAAAACAACAAAAAACTTGGATTTCAGTCACTTCAAGCTGCCGTGCGAACATAGCCCAAGTCTGAGTCCAAAACCTCAGCATTACTTCAATCCAGAAGAGACATGATGGCAAAACTAAATGATCCATATAGATCTAAATCTGTACTTATATAAATAATTCCAGATCTAAGTAAGTGAAGACCACTGTTTTGTATTGCTAGCTGTGACTGGTGCACAAATTCAACTAAGAGTTAATTAAAGAGGGTTCATAACGTTTCAGTAAAATATAATTAACTGTGACTACTCTCACATACAATACCTGACCCCACCTCTGCTATGACCTTAAATAATTAACTAACACTGAGGACAGAATAGGCCATGAAGTTTTTCTTTTTTTAATATTTTTATATGAAAATCCTTAATGAAGATTCAGAATCTGCTAAAATTAGAACCAGCAGGTCAAAGTCTTATTAGTTTTTTTTGGCCAGTTCCTGATCTTTAGATTTTATAAGTTGTATCTCCTAATGTAAAAAAATAAAAATTAGGATCAGTCTCCTTTATACTAATAGACAAAGTAATTTCAGGTAATGCCATTTTTCTTTCTTGCCTTTCTCTCAACTTGTCGCTTGCCCTGCTGTTCTGTCTCCAGCTTGTCATCAAACTCCTGCTGGAGTTTCTTTTTGGTGAAGTCCATTTCCCGAATGGCTCGATTGTATTTTATCCGCCACTCGCCTCCTAGAGAAAAAGGCACAGAAAATGTCTTTGTGACAATTTGGGTGTCTCCGGACTGTAATGTGAACCTAGTGGGGGTACACAGCAAAAAGCAGCTCAAAAACTAAGATTTGATGGATATGGTGGATTATCGAGGGCACTGTACTGGCTTAGACGGTTCTCGCATTCAATGACTGACAAAATATAATTTTTCAGGAAATAAAGCTTCTTTCATCAAAACATGACCTTACAAGGTCAGGAAATTCCACAGGAAACTTACAAAGCAGCTTTGGGGTTTCAGGCCTAATCTTGAATAAACCACAGGTAAGAATTCTGAGCTCACAACAATGGCTGAAAGAGAAGGACACGTCTAAGTGGCACTTTCCGCACTTCTTTGCCGACCTTAATTCTGGAGCTGTCACAGGCTATCAGAACTAAAACAGCGGCCAGGCGGGCGTTCAGGTTTGGGTTCATTTCCAAGCCTTATCATTTCTGAGGCTGTCCATTTCTCCTTCACATACCAACACCAGCTCCTCCATCAGTGCTGCTCATTAGCATATATATAGCATAATGACAACTTGCAGGGCCACCAGCTCTGATCCCAACGATTACTTTCTCATTCATCTAAGAATTCTGATATGCTCTGTAATGGCTTGTCTGCTGAGGTGGGTTGAAGGGGCGGTATTGCAGGGAGGGAATAAAGCCCCACAGACAATAAGCTCCCAGCAGGCGCTCCATTTTCTTGCAGGAAAAAAGGAGGGGGGCAACAATCAGTGGCCATTAGTTTTATGCCCGGGAGTGAACATCTTAATCTACAAGCCTGAAATCCAAAACTGGGAAAATAATCTTACCAGTACTGTGCAAAAATGTCTTACTGCCACGTTTCCTGCTGCAATAGTCGACACATTCCTGCAGCTACAATTAGTGTAAGCCAAATTTTTAAACTGCGATTTAGTATTTATGCTGCTGACCTGAGCTGACATGCCCATTAGGGAGGCTTAGTCAGGCCACGCTGAGTGTCAAAAAGTACAATTAATTAGGATATTTGAAATAAATGTTTAAAAGCACTGTGCATGTTAGCAAAAATGATTCTGACTGCATCCGAAATCCTCACATTCGAAGCCAGTTTGAAGCTCAACTAACCAGAATCATCGTCATCCACCTCCCCATTGAGCTCTGATGCTTTTGTAAGACGTGCTTCCATAAGCTCCATTTCCTGGGACTCCATTTGTTTTTTCATGGCATCAAACTTAACCTGAAATGCAGCAAGTTGAAATTAAACAGTATTAACTTAGCAAGAATAGAAAAACTTGTTTTTCAACAGTTGGAGTAATTTCATGTTTTTGTGAGAATCTGCCTGTAAGTCCTTCATATCCCTCTCCAGGCGGAGTCTCTCTGAAGTCTCAGTTTCCAGCAACTGGGAAGCTGATTCACTGGTGCTCCTCTCGTCAGCGAGCTCAGCCAACAACTCTGCAATCTGTTTGCACACGAGAAGTCACGTACACACAGTGAGGGTACTGCAACAGACTCAGGAAGACTTGTATGCAAGTTGCAGATCAATTTTTTAACCAGAATGAAAAGGCGGCAAGACTCCACCACCAATCTCAAACACCATCCTCCCAGAAAGCTGTGACAAAGACAAAGAGACCCACCCTGCTCTCCAATCGATCTGTGTTCAGTCTCAATTCATTTCGCTCTTTCTCCACCCTCTCCAGCTTCAGTTTGTGCTGCTGTATCTCCTCCTGGAGCACAGATTACAGCAGTAGATTTATACATGTTATGAAACAAGGGAATTGTGAATTATGACCTAGGAAGTGTGAAGCCATGCCAGGTGATGCAGTTGAAAAAGTAAAATAAGATTGTGTAATTGAGCAAAATCTATAAGGTGTGAGGTATGAGAAGTGATAGAAATGTCTGCTCACGTCTTTGCTTTTCATCTGCTCCTCGGTGAGTTGGACTTTAATAAGCGGCTGAACTGTAGTGAAGAGTTTCCACCACGGCCAGCCCTTCACACCACGGTTCTTCTTTATGTTTTTCTGAATGCACCTGATTGCAAGGTCCTGAATCTGAGCACATACGGAGAGAAAGTTTTCAGTGACAGGTAACTTACCATTCAGCATTTGTCACATGAGATCTAAATAGAACTGACTAGACTGGGACACTGGTATCAGTATGATAACCCTATTACTTGGAACTCACTATGCAAATATATTCTAATACAACTACGGTCTTTATATTCAACACATTACTTTCATTCAACTAATTTTATTAGGCTTCAACCACAAACTTCAATGCATTTTATTAAACTGTGTGACGGACCCTCTCTAAGTAAATCATAATTAAGGAGGAAGGTTGTAAAAACCTATTTCTAAATAGAAATATGTAAAACGTGTGGTGAATTTGTACATATCTCCCTATTTGTCAATACTATTTCAGGTTCTTTTCTTCTGGGCGAACTTCCCTACAAGCTTTAAACTTTATGATTTAGCAAAAGTTCCTTGCAGAAAGTTCCTCAAGCATTAAATAGAGAACTACAGCTAACAGGGATTTTTTTTTTAAAGGAATGAGGTCTGGACTTTTACTAGGACTTTGCCATACATTTTCATCCAACCCATTTTACATATTTCTCTGCTGAAACAGATTATACTTTTAGGATTTCCTATAAAACTCTGATTTGATTATATTAACCTGCTATAAGGAATATACACAGAAGATGATGCTGGCATCTTATCACCATGGAAATGGTTTGTTCTATGTGATGCACAGAGTTTTTCTGCCACGCACTGAACTTTTTGCATGTTCACTTAAAGTTAAACTGTGTCACCTCTTAAGCTTCTCCAAAATGACAATGGACCTTTTGGGCTTCTTCTCATGCCTGAGTCAGTTTAAGACCATCTTTAAGAAATTTCACAGAAATTGCCAAAAAAAAAAATGTATTGAATTCAACTTGTATTTATAATTATTATAAAATGAGACCTATAAAAAAAGAAAATATCAACAGGGCCTTTGTCCTTCAATTGCATAAAACACAACCATGCATGACACATGGTTATGTTTTATTTTGTCATTATTGTCATTATTATATTTTAATAACCATCAGTATTATCGCTATGGCCTTGACCGTCATCTTTTGTTAACTGCTTTCAAACTGCCTGTATAACAATTCCTTCGATCACCTGGAATGCCCACGACTGCATGTGCAACTCAGCGCCTCTTATTTGGAATCTCTGTAGATCAGGGCCTATGGATAAAACTACTCTGCAAGAACATGATTGTTTCATAATCTAGTTCTGCTTTAAACTTCACCACAACTTTATCTTTGACCTGTCTGGTTTGTTCCTCCACCTTTATGATCCAGTTTTTTTGGTGAGCTTCTCACTCAACAGCTGTTTTTGTTGTTTTGTTTTTAATACTCCCAACAGATACATCTCCATTAACTGCTTCTGTGACTTATAAAGTAAACTGATTGGGCTGGATTTAAATATTTAAGATATTACAAAAACAGATAGATAAATAAAAAAAAACCATACATTTCCACTATTTTGTGTTACTCTGTCACAGAAAAACTTAATAACACAGTGCTAAAGAATGTTAAGAGGAATCAATAAATTTTTACTCAACATCTCAGCAAATTGATGTTATAAATAAGAATGTAATAGTTAAATAATCACGAATGGTGGGGCAGGCATACTATAAAACTCTACCGGTAATCTTTCATCCTCAATACTGTTGAACCAAACTCAAAAAACACCACATCTCTAATGTGTCTGATTGCCAGTTTATAGCCAAGCAGTTATCCCAGGACTTGCCTGCCTCCTCTGGAGAGCTTCTGCAGAGTGCATTCCAAGGCTGGGAGCTAATTTTTGATTAATTAAATCAAACATGTCGGCAGCTCATTCCAAGTATTACACGATTTCCATGCTGCTTATGCATGAGGCTCTCTAGCAGTGGCAGATTATGGGCAAACCCAATTAGAGCAACACAATTCGCAGCATCAGGTACGTTTTGCCCTGAAGGTACTCTCTATAACCAATTAGGATTTGTCACACAGTGAAAGCTTTAACGTGCAACAAAATGCAGCAATTCTCTGGCAGAAGATTTAAGTGGGTTTCACTTGTCATATTTAGTCTAAAAAGAATAGGAAACAAACAAAAGATTAGGCTCCATGAGCACCATGGATAATCATTCTGGTTCTCGAATCAAATAAAGACGGTGTGACAACTGTATGACTGTGTGAAGAGAGCTGCAGTTGGGGATGTAGATTAAGAAACAAAACACGTCATTCTCTCTGTTAGTATTGAGCATGTGAATGCAGCCCTGTGAAAATATATGTATAGGGCATTTAGTACAAGCATGGCGTTACTTACATGATATAATTCCATTAAAAGATAACTTAACAAAAGAACAGCTGAAGTCCTTTATAGCAGATATGCCTGAAAGCTGTGATACATTTTATCATCAATAGCTTAAAAAAATCATAAGGGCTATCAGTGAGAGCTGGTCAAAGGTATAAAGCGAGTAAAACCCCATTCTGAGGCCAGCAGGGGGCCACTACTCCTCACAGTTTGTAAAAAAAAAAAAAAAGAAAGAAAGAAAAACAAACGTATCTGGTTGCCGGGTAAAGCGCACACTTTTACTATTTCTAAATTGTTAAGTTTCTGATGGAGACATTTGCAACAAAACCATATATTCATTAAATATATATAACAGGTTTACCCACAATTTGCAGGTTTCCTGCAAATATTGCAGGTTTACCCACAATTTGCAGGTTTCCTGCAAATATTGGGTAAACTGAAAACTGAAAATTTTATATTATTTCTATTAACTTATTATCTCTATTTAAGGACAGAAGGTTATTAAGATTGATTATGTGACTCCTGTTAATAAAAAACAAATATATATATACATATGTTCCACAGCAGAAGGCCGTCTAGAATTAATTTAGTTTATTCCCAGTTTATGGTCTTTCTTCATCCATAGGAATAAACTGATTTAAAAAAGGAGTAGAACTGCAATATTTGCAAATAGCTTGAAGTAAAGTATTAATAAAATATAATGAAATCAGATTGCATTACATAAGAGGGTTGGTCTTTGTCTGTAAAATTCTGGGAATACCACAAGGAAAATAAAGTTACTTTGGCCAAATCCCTATACCTCTTTGTTAGAGGTTACCTTGAAACTGACAAGTTCAAAATGAATTTAATATGTTTTAGGAGATATGAGCTTTATTTGAACTGACTTGAATCACAATAAAAGAAAGACCACAGATAATATTTCAGATGTCAAAAAAAATAAATAAATTCTTAAAGCTTACTCTGAGAATAAAACAATATACAAGTTTTAAAAATAAGACATTTATTTGCAAGAAACTCGATAACCGAATAATCATTTTGAGAACATGTAGCTGCAGTCCAAAATATCTAATGAACCAAAGAACAGAATCCACACCATATCTACAAAAATGCATTAAAGTTTCAAAATAAGAGTTTATGAAAGTGACTAAAATACAATGATCTACAAAATGAATGATAATTATATCCATACATTTGCCAGAACCAATAAAATGGGTTCGGCAGAATTGATTATAAATATATATGTTGGCGTTTCCAAATTATGATTGCCAAGTAAATCCTCCTCGTTTTTGTTTTTCCGTTTTTAACCCTGGTCATTTAGGCACACTAGATTAGATGTTTCCCTGCTTTTACACAAGTTATATCAATTAATAACGGATGAATAGGCTTTGCTGAACTGCAATCATCTGAATCAGTTGTGTTGAAGCAAAGAAACATCTAAAAACATGTAGTGAGTAGTTTGCCTTGATGACCAGGGTTGAAAATGATTGCTCCACATGCATCAAAATCCTGTTCTTGTCTGCCACTTCTCTGTTAAGACTAAAATAGAATAAGCAACGTCCTCTGAGCACTTTTTGCCCTGTGCGTAAAAGTGCTCACTAATTTGCGTTTTTATTGCACAATTCCACATTTTCTCTGTTTTTATTTTTAATTTAGCTACTCAGTGATTGGTATTGTTGAGGTACAACATGTTTATATCCTTTATGCTTTCTTCTCCCACTGAGTTGCCATTCAATCTGCACATATTCTTTAGTGAATTAAATCTGTTTGGATTTATATTTTTTAGCCAAAGAGCTACATCCCCAGGCATTGGGGATGCTTGAGTTACCCAATACAGGTAAATTTCATCTGCTTGTGTATGCACTAAATAAAAAGAATTATGTCGTGTGGCAACAAAATGTGACTGTAAATTGGTAAATTGAGATGAAACCGCAATATTACATTTAGTTTTTATTGTTTATTATTTTGCAGTCAGGTTTATTAGCTTGTAAATCTGCAAAGCTGCTTTTCAAAAGAGCAGATTCAAAAGAATAAAAAAAAATCTCAGTTTACTTAAGATTTTAATTATTTTCAATATTTACAGAACTGACAAGTCTACTGATTAGACAGACAAAACAGAACTGCTTCACGGTCTGACAAGTTTGTTGGAAGAGTCATAATCTATTTCTATTTTTGTAGATAAGCTGTTTTTGTTGCCTGTATCTCAGTTGTGCACCTTTTCATACACACTGATCATTTATAGCCAATAAAGCCCAAAGAGTATTGACAGTTTTCCATATATACCTGTAAGGACAATTATTTACACTTAGTCCTCCTTCAGGCCCAATTTTTTTTTTTTTTTTTCATTCAGCTGTTGTAAACTAATAGAGATGGAAGAATATTTGAATTAAACAAAAACCCAAAATACAAACATTTCTGCTCACCTAAATCCAAACCATCCATAATAATATGTATTTAAAAGGTAATGCAAACTTATATGAAACCAAAGATTTAATTCAGGTAATTCCTCGATGGATCACTATATAAGCTAAATATGTTTTAATTGTTCATTGCAAAGACTAAACTCAACAGGAGCGTGGTAAGAAGAGTAAATAAATAAATGGAGGTGAAATACCTTCCCTGAGGCTTATAACAGAAATACTGTACATTTCTACCCCTCTACTGCACCCTTTCCTGCATGCCTGCACTCCTGTTCTACACTTTTACTCCATCAC